TGGGTATGGAGAGAAAATATAGTTTGGAGTATGATTAGTATGAAGACTTATGGAATCCAATAAAAATGAATTTCCAGAAGTTCCATAGGCAAAAGGGAATCAGCATGAATGAAAGGAATAATACACAAACAGTGAAACCCACTTCAGAATTTTAGTCTTCAAGTTTGTTTAGCATAATCATTGGTTAAGTAGATAGTTTCAAGTTTATGAAAGAGAGCAATTTTGTTCAGGAGGATAACGAAACATTCTAACAGATGTGTTTTAAAAATTTTGAGGGGAAACTCGAAAGAGAAAGTCCAAAGAGAACAATATCTGCTAGCGGTGAGCTTGGGTTGTTGCAAATAGTATCAGAGTCAGACATTGAATGATGTGCCAGTGAGAAGGTTGAGCACCTAAGGGGAGTGGACACGAGGCGGTGTGCCAACAAAAAGGCTGAGCACCAAAGGGGAATGGATACGGGGCCGGTGTGCTAGCAAGAAGGCTGAGCACTAAAGGAGAGTGGACACGAGACGGTGTGCCAGCAAGGACGCTAGGCTCTAAAGGGGGTAGATTGGAGGGTCCCACATCGATTAAAGAAGGGAACGAGTGTCATCGAAGATGCTAGATCTCGAAAGGGATGGATTGTGAGATCCCACATAAGTTAAAGAGGAGAACGAGACATTCTTTTGAAGGAAGTGGAAACTTCTCCTTAGCATACCGTTTTAAAACCTTGAGAGAAAGTCTGAAAGAGAAAACTCAAAAAAGACAATAGGAAAAATCCGAAAGAAAAAACCCAAAATCATGTGTGTGAGCCAATTAGCTGGTTGAATCGTGTCGTGTTTGGATTGGTACAAGTGTGGTTCGAGATTTGTAAGTGAAAACCAAAAGAATCTATTTCTTTGGCTTTGTGTTAATTCCATTAAAGATGATGAGGTCTTTGTGGACCAAATGTGCTGAAAAATTTCCACTTATTTTGATAGTTAAATGCAAATCCTTGTCCATGATTACAGAAAAGTAGGTGATGGTGGAAAAGAATGGGAGTGCCAACAAACAAAGACTTGCTAGGTGGAGGGTATTAAATGCATTTGGTCATCTTTGCATCCCCATATTTCATCTACTATCTATGTGCATAAAAATAGCACTTTCTTCAAATACACCATTTAACATGCATCAAATATATATAAAGTTTGACATTGATTAGAGGTCGAAAACATCTTGAATACATAAGTAACGATAACGTTTCTGTATCATCTAGAAGCATATGCACGCAAACTCAGATATCATATTCTTGTAGAAATATAAAGAGATTCGTTGTCCCAACAAAGCAACCGGTAATCTCTTGTTTAGTTCATTTATGTAGCAGCCCAATCCCCTGTTAGTAAATATGGTCTGTTTTAGTCCGTTACATATCGCCATCAGCTTCACAGTTTTAGAACGCATCTACTAGGGAGAGGTTTCCATACCCTTATAAGGAATGCTTCGTTCCCCTCTCCAACGAATGTGGGATTTCACAATCCACCCCCTTGGGGGCCTACCGTCCTTGGGACACACCGCTTGATTTCTGGCTCTGATACCATTTGTAACACACCAAGCCTATCCCTAGTATATATTGTCCTCTTTAGACTTTCCCACAGGGTTTTTAAAATGCGTCTTCTAGAGAGAGGTTTCCACACCCTTATAAGAATGTTTCGTTCCCCACTCTAACTGATGTGGGATCTCATAATTTGATATCCTACGAGTTTTGAGAGCAACGAGATTTCCTTATATGCATGGTGGCTAGAAGGTTTAGAGGAGAGTTAGGCATAGAATTAAAAGCTACTCATGGTAATTTATGGCATGAGATTAAGCAGCTTTGGATCACATGTTGTGGGGACAACAAATTAGCAGAAATCACAAAGAACAAACAAGGAAAATTGGAGAAGTGAGTGGAAACTGTGTTTAAAAATGTGACCTTTTTATAACTTTCAGCTGAAGGAAGAAGAGGAATAATGAGCCATTGGTGGGTTTTAAGTTACTAAAAGAGAAAGAGATGGCTTAAAGAAGAAACAGCTGGAGTGGGATTTGTCTGTTATAGAGAATTATAAGTGAGGTGGCTATGGCTGCTTGGCCCCACTTTTGGACCCCTTTTACATGGCTCAAGCTTTGAATTGTCCTTTTGGATTCTGCTGACATGGACAAACATGAATGAAGTGGCAGTCATTGTCCATGGCATGCATTCTTGCGTTTGGCGACTGAGATGAGCTTAACAATTTGGATTTGAACCGACTCTTTTCTTTCTTTCTAGTGCATTCAACACCATATAAACTCGAAATGAACTAACCACGAGATTTTTGGGTTATGTGGCTCGTATTTTCTGATAAAAACCTTTTATTTTGATCAAAATCTTCTATCATGAGATGATTTATATCATTTTTGTCACTTCTGATTAAAAATTGTTGTAAGTTGTCATGAAGATGTATTGTCATAACTCTCGTTAAGTTCATAACCCTCTATAGTTTCTATTCTCATTTATTTGGTTTATGTATGAGAATTAGTATTGTCATATTTGTCTAGTGACATTTGAGTTAGGTGTGAAGCCTTATATTTAGGAACTTTGTTGAGAAATTTTGAAGGGTGAGAAATACACTTGAATATTTTGGTTATAGTGATTGGTTGAATGTAGGGGAATTTCTTCCCTGTGTCTTTTTGTTTAATTTCTATTTGTGTGTGAGTGCCATCCATCTAACTTCTGCTACAACAATTAAGTATCGCTAACATTTTTTATTGTGACATTAGGATACAACAATTAGTATCGGAGCATTTTTTATCGTGGCATTTGGGTGCCACCTGAATAACCCTTTTATGAGTTCTGTTTTGGGTTAAATTGTTGAGTTTTGCTGTCGGCATCAGCTTTCAAGATCAGTCTCATCACAATATCCCAATGTAATAACTTTGGTCCAATAAAGATCTGGAAATTTCATAGCTCAAAACAATTAAGTTATTCCACAATTACATCTCTCATTGCTTTCTGCCTTGTTCCAATAAAAGGTCAAAAAGTTTGTCCAAGTTCAGCTTTTGTTCTTTTGTTTAATTTCCTTTTGCATCATGAACATGAACCAATTCTTGGTAATGGTTCTTCCCCTTGTTTCTTGGTGGATGAACAATACAATATCAATCAAAAGAGAGACAGAAAATCATTAAAATGAATGAAAATTCACATATGGTTTAGCACTGTTCCAGATCTGCTTAGAGAAAAGTTGCCTTTACTTTTGATACCAAGAAATTTCCTTGTTTTTCATCATTTATTCACATTTTGGAGCGTACAATAAAATGGGGGGTTCAGTTAATTAAACGGCCAAGCTTTTCAGCAGTACAAGATTAGTACAAAAATGATTCACATCTTGGAAAAGAACAGTGAGGAACCAAACACTGAGACAGTTCTTTGAGGCAAAAGTTTAGCAGAAGGTCTCCTCTGCCATCACTTCAGACAAGGACTCATTCGTTGTGTTGGGGTTGGTCCTGCTGCAGGTGGAGGGCCATCTCATATCAATTTTGAACCAAAAACAAAGATGGGTAAAAAGAGAGCAGAAAATTCCAATGACAAGTGGCATGCCAATGATAGTGAATTTGGACATGAGGATAAGCATTGAAGAAAAATTTTCCATTTTCCCAAAGCTATGGGAAAAAGAATGAATAAGGGGAAATCTGAGCTCTGCTTTCACCAGGATTATGAGAGAATTATTGCTTTTTTGGGTCAAAATTTGTGAGAAGATGAGGTGGGTTCATCAAGAATATGTCCTTGCCTGTCTTGATGATAATATTTTTGGAGGATTCCTTTCCCCTTCGATAAGAAAACAACTGGCTTGCTTTCACTGACAGGAAAAAGCCCAAGAAAAAAGGAACTCTTTATGTCTAGAAGCTGAATCTTAAATCCTTTTTTTGGGGAGGGGGTGTTGTTTCATGAAAGATTTATTAATGAATATTATCAAACAAGAAAGTGGGAGTATTTTAATGAAGATATAAAAGATCTTCAAGATTTCTAAACCTATATTTCGTGGAATTCATGGCATCCCTATACCTGCGCTAGAATGGTTCTAAAAGGATTGTTATGGGTACACCAACAAAATGCAACGCATTAGCAAGATGGAAGGAAAAAGGGGGAATCATTTTGGGAAGCATGTGGGAGAGAAATTTAAAGGGGAATGGCATGCTGTTGTGTTTTAGTTTGGTTTTATTGGTCACAACAACAAAAGCAGGCTGTTTGGTAGCAAAGTGAATGGAGAGGGGAAGACTACAAACCAAGCCCCTCAGACATTGGAGGGAGGATTAGAGGTCCCCCCAGGGTACAGGTTTTCCAAGGAGAATCATTTCCATTGATGGGGCATTTGTGGGTCTATCACACAATAATGACAAAGGGCTGTAGACCCTTCTACCTTTTATTGGAAAAGGGCATTTAGAAGAACCCAAATGCCTTAGATAGGCACGGGTCGACGCCTGTCAGCACGTTTCCGCCACAAGGATGAATGCCACTGTTTGAATCACAAATCATCGCAATTTATCACCGTTCAATATAGAAAAAGAAAACATATGAAAGAAAAATCAAAATGATGTCCTGACCCAACATTCAATTAGGTTGTGAAGTCCCTTTCATGGTCTCAATGAAGTAGCTTGGTTCTTTCTGTGGCCACCACCTAAAAGGGAAAAAATTTGGAAAAAGAAATTCCAAACGACCAAATATTAGCGAAGGTAGCTTAATCAAGATTTGTCTATTGGATTGGAATGGTCAGACTCTCCAGACAATTAAAGAAATCATGTATAATCTTCTGAATAACACTGCTCATTTATTTGTAATGGAATCTAAATATCATTTTGTAAGAGAGATCACCTTGGATCTTACTTGCTGAAATAGATATGCTTGCTCATGATCCATGGGCCTTTCACTCAGACCCAACATTGATTTTTGCTGAAATAGATCTTGGAACACCATCGTAGACAGCCCATCTAAATTATCATGAAAAATAAAATGATATAACTTAATTCCGTACGTGCATCATACCAAAATCCCGATTCATTAGTTAATGAGAATATGTCCACATTGCCATTCTTAAAATCTAGAAAAGACCCTCTATCCCCTAAACATTAAGAAACCGACTCAAGAATTTGATCTCCCAAAAAGCAACCTAAACTGAACAGAAACTATAATCTTTTTTGCTTTTTCTTTAGCGGGTTCTCTTATATATGTGTTGTCGAATCAGGAAGAAAATTTCCATTTATGATAACTTTGCCCTTGAAAAGTCCATCTCCGGATGCTGCATGGGATCAATTCAGAGATTCAGTCGAGAGAATCAATAGAATATAATAAACCAAAAACAAACACATGTACACAGGTACAAATAAATCACCTCAGCCATGAACTTCTTCAGAATCTCTTGCTTCTGCATCTCATCGCTGGTTGGGAGTCCCAGAGACTTCTGCCTTTGATCGAACTGTAAAAATTTCCCCCAAGTCAAGATGAATTGATTATCAATTTATTATAAAATATATTAATATACATATAGCAACAGCTGCAACTGTACCCATCATCAATGCATAACAATATGCACTAAATAGCGAACTTAGGTAACTCAATGAATGTCAAGAGACAAGAAAGCATAATCAGGCATGATGAGTTTAGATCTATTAAACATGGTAGTTTTCAGAGGTGTCTCTGCTGATAAAAAAATAATTTTACTCACGAGCATGAATTTTTATTAGCATCAACGATGAGGGAGATGAACTCCTAGAATGATGCGGAACATGGTTAAAATTGAGATGATCTCTGCCCTTTCATCATATTGTCAAAAAAATCTAACAATATCTATATCCTTCTCTGGGGAATTTAACAGTCTTTGATAGTTGAGTTAAGACTTCTTCTGATTGTTAGAGTGACTACAATCTGCCGAAATAGAATAAATCCTTTTTCTCTTTGAGGGAAGATTGACTCTCACATGACCCACCCCAATGTCCCACTATATATATAAAATCAGGGCAGACCCATCGAGAAAGTCTTGAGGAATTTATTGAGGAAGGCCTTGATTTGGAGTCACGATCATCTAGTGAGTTGAAAAAAGTGGTCTTGCCTTCATTTCAACTTTCAAGGGGGTATTGGTATAAACAACAAGGCTGCGACTATAGGATAAAAGGTGTAGGAGATTAAGAGGATGATTGTGCTTGAAAATACTACTGAGACATACTGGTAGTAGTTGGCAAAGTGATGGAATGCTATAAGGATCACTTGGGTGGGGATATTATTGGATATTATGGGAATAACAGCAATCAGTTAGGAGTCTTTATTTTCATGATTTGTTGTAAATAGAGTAAGTCTGAAAAGATGGAGGTAAACATTTGTTCAGTGAGTCAAAGCATGAGCTAGCTTGAGTGGCATCTCAAGAGTGAGGAGAATTTAAGTGCCTGAAATTACTTGGTGGTTTACAAGTAATATCATTATCTTAAATATTTCAATATATTTGGTTTCCATACAAAGCCGCTTAAGATCCAATTCAGTCGTAAGAAACTTGAGGTTTCACATTTCTTCAGAATGGGGAAAAGAATAAGATTTAGAGAACTATTGGATGATTTGTTGATCATTTGAAAATCCCACTGAGGCGTAAAGCACAATGGGCTTAAATGTATAAAGCAATCATACGAGGTTGGTATGAAGTAACCAGAAAATTTTGGAGGAAAGTGTTTATATTGGGAGGAGGTGGTGAACTTAGCAAAATGTTATGTATCCTTTCAGTGAGGACTTCAAGTTCTTTTTGCAACTGTATTTCTGAAGATATTAACATTTATTGGGGTGATTTTCGTGAAGTCCTAGCTGGAGTGTATAAATTATTATGATTATAACTTATCACCAATACAATAGAAAACTATTTCTTGTTTCCAACTAAAAAAAAGTTGGATTCTTTATCAAAGCACAAAAATAAATATACAGGAGAATATAACAAAACTATACGTGTAATAGATATAAAATAGATGAACAAAATACATACCATCATCTTTTCAACTGTTTGTCGTGTTTCTGGATCCAAATCTGCTAGTTTGCTGTTCTCAGGTTCAACCTTCTGTGTATCAATCTCAGGATCACCTTTCACTAGGTACTTCCACCACTCCATTTGGTTGTGCTTGGTCAAAAGAATGGAGATGGTGCTCTGATCCTCTGCAAAAAGTACCAATATGAAACATGGAGCAATTAGTTAATGCAATAACTTTGATACCCAAGTGGATCACAAAAACTGCTTTCAATTAACTTTATGCATCCCTTCTTATTTATGGTATCCCCTTTTCCCAAGGACTTGAACAGCATCAAAATAAGCCATATCTAAAAGAAATTTAACATTAATCACTCTTTTATTGTGAACAGAACTCCAGAAGCACCTATGCTCCAGTAACAGTCATCTGGCTTGACAATCTGACAAAGCTCTCCCTGCAAGCAAGTGATGATAATTCAGAACTTGAAAGTATAAAAACACACTCCGTGCAAATATGCCCGTAACAGAAACAAGCTGCTGCTAACAAACATACATCTATCACTGGCGGTTGACCCTTTAGTCCAACTTTGAGATGATTCTTCTTGATCTCACACACCACAAACTTGGACTTAGTTCCTTTGGGTACAGGTACATTAACATTGACTTCTTGCAGGGTCTGTGTCCAAGAGTAGTTGTCCATATCAAGGCCATTACCTTTGTTGGGAACTGCAGATTCCATAAGTACAAACAAAGTTAAAGATGACATTTGGTTTACAAACAAAGTCTAGGGTCGATCAGGCAGTTGAACTAGACAAAAAGATTTATTTCATAAATTTGATAGGGGAAGCCTCATACTGAGTTCCAAATTCCAGAGGAATTTTAGACACCTTTAACAGACACATTATGAAAAGAAAAGACAGAAACTATCATACTGCATGATGAGATATCATGCTCAACTCAAAAGGATAAAATTCCAACTCCATATAAGAAGTCATATTTTCTACATAGTTTTCTCAACTAAAGCAGAGTTTCCACACACACACACACACATATACCCAAACAAAAGCAATATAATACCACTCAATTGACATTGAAAACACATAAGACTCGGACATAACTTCTAACCCGTGATATGGCTAGAATAGAATAGTATCCCAATTATTTCACTTCTAAACTTGAACTCAGAGCAACATTGAACAAGTATCAATACATCAGATGAATCCCGCCCTTGATTTATGGAGGGTTAATGGATTAGCCTACACCCTACTAACCAAGTAAACAAGTGGTTAACTACAAACTAGAACCATTAACCATCCGGACTAAGAGCTACAAAACTACTGCTACCAATGCTTCATCACAATGCAAATTTCCTCACTCCAATTGCTAAACCTTGCCTGTTCACTGCACTATTGACAGTATAATCTAGCCATACTTGACCGTCGAGGTTTATGAACAGACAATCATTTCAGCTCTTCAATGTTTCCCATTCCTTTACCTCTTCTAGATAGTACAATATCAATAAAGCGAATACAACACAAAATGACAAAATAAAGCACAAAATGCTCACCTCTTGGGCCATTCTCCTTGCTGTTCCCCTCCAACATCACACCCACTTTCTCTTCTGGTGGTGATGCCACAGTCTTCGTCTCCTCCTTCACAGCCTTCACCTCCTGCTTCACACTCCTCACCTCCTCCTTGATCCTCTTCTCAGCCTTCCCTTTGTGCTCAAGTGACTCCTCATGCTTCTTTCTCTTCTCCACAGCTCTGCGCACCACCATCTCAATTTCCTTCTCGGCTCTATCCCTGGAGAGAAAATCACTCTCATTGGCAAGAAAATCGAACACCTTCTCCAAAAGCCCTAGAGGGTTTGAAGGGTCAAAGTCGGCATTGAACTGAGAAGGCTTAGCAGATGAAGAAGATGATGGAGAGGAGGAGGAGAAAGGCCTTTTTGGCTTCGAGATTTCTTCCTTCTCTTCGTAGTCGGAGATAATCGCCATGGCGGGCAGACGCAGGCAGAATCAAGAAATCGCTTGAAAAGATCGGTCCTATGGAATGAGGGTTTAAGAGTAAATGCCAATGGGCAATGTATAAGGAGAACGAGAGAGAAAATGGAAAGCACTAGAAGTTCTAGAAGGTCCATTTATCTTTGACTTTGATTTTATTTATTTATTTTAATTTTGAAATTATTTCAAAAATATTAATTGAATTTTGTTCTCTAAAATGATAAATAAAAATTAACACGACATTGCAAGAATTACATGTAATATTCAAAATTAATTTAAAAATGGGGAGGTTTAGAGGGAGAGTAAAGTACCTTAAGCACGGTTTTGGAGATGAAAATGGATGGTCAGGCCAAGAAAGACGACCATGAACTCGAGATTTATAGTTGCACCACACAAATGCAAATGGATGTAGGCCTCTAACTTGCACCATGGCCCCTTGTCTAGTCGTGTAGGTATATTTTCATGAAGATGTATTGTCATAACTCTCATTTAGTTCATAAACCTTAATGGTTCATATTCTCATTTATTTTGGCTATTAACTCTCATTTAATTTATAATTATTTTGTTTCATATTCTCATTTATTAGAGTTTTTAACTTTGATTCATTTTATTTCATATTCTCATTTATTTGGTTCGTGCAGGAGAATTAGTATTATTATACCTATATAAAGTCTTGTCTAGCATTGTTTTGAGACGTGGAGTTAGAGTCATTGCCATTTTGTATTTGTCTGGTGGCATTTGGGTTTAGATGTTGAGTTATTGTCATTTTGTATGTCTAATAACATTTGTGTTAGATGTGGAGTCATGACCATTTTGTATTTGACTAGAGACAGTTGGGAGGAATTTTGTTGAGAGACTTTGTAGTGTGAGAGATGCATTTGTAAACACTTTGGTGATAGTGATTGGCTAACTCGTGGATGTAGGAGAACTTATTCTCTTCGAACCACGTAAGTCTTTGTGTCGCTTTGTTTGATTTCTATTTGTAGGTGTGTTGTTAGGATCGCACAACAACGCACACACTCGATCTAGATGAACACAAAGAACACTGGCTAAAGGATTTATATTGATGACTTCAAGTATGTTCAATAAGAGAGAATACATAAAAAAACATTTTCAAAGCTCTACAGGACGACGGAATATATATATAGTTCAGTTTACTATATATAGATTTACCAGATTTAACCATCTAGCTATACCAGATTTAACCATCTACTGTATATAGCTATTTACCCTATATAGCTTTACCAGCTTTACCAAATATAGTTTTACCGGATATAACCGTGGACCAAACTATAAATAAGAGAGCAGACTCCATAACCTAACAATTCTCCACTTGAAGACTGATCCAGTCAACCAAGAATTTCATTCTCAAACAATCACTCCACCATACATAACCTTAATTTTCCAACATCAGCACATTTTGTCAACTTGTCTGCTGGATTCTTTGCACCCTTTATCTTCTTTAAACACATATCGTCTTCTTCCACTAACCTGCAAGTGAAATGGTATCGCCTTCTAATGTGTTTTGTCATTGAATGATAGATTGAGTTTTTCACCAACTGTATGACACTTTGATTATCTGTATAAAGGATCTTCTTGCACGGCTTCCTGCCTAATTCTTCTAGATAGTCTATCATCCATATCATCTCCTTTCCAGCTTCAGCTATTGCCACGTACTCAGCTTCAGTAGATGAAAGAGCAACGTATTTCTAAAGCTTGGACATCCAACTCACTGCTGTTTCATCTATATTGTAGATATATCCAGATGTGCTCTTGCTAGAGTCTACATCTCCACTCAGATCAGCATCCACAAAACCTTGCAGAACTACTTTGCCATTGTCATAACAAAGTGAAGTATTAGATGTGCCTCTCAGATATCTTAGAAGCCACTTCACAACTTCCCAATGTTCTTTCCCTGGATTTGCCCTGTACTTGCTAACAACTCCCACGGCATGTGTTTGTTGGGTTTTATGTCCTAAAACTCAGTTTGTAAACAAAGACATTCTATTTTCAATAAAGTTATTATTGATGTTTATTCAGTAAAAATTGTTATTAAATAAAGTGAACTTTACGATTATTAATCTAAATCCAATAAACTAAGAAAACTCTGGCTATAGTATGATTACTTGAACTATATGTAGAGACATAAAAGTGGATCAAGTTCAAGTATATAGTCAAAATGATCTATAGTATAAGGATAAGGCTGAGTACCTTATTCTGGGGACACTATGGATGCGACCCACATTTGTATATGATATAAACAATGTGATCACTAAATTGTACATGTGGAGGCATGTGAGTGGGGGCGTCCTATGCAATGAGTATTGCATAAGATCGAACCATGAAGAAAATCACTCTCTCTTTATAATGTCGTTTACTGTTGAGACTGATTTTCTTTTCATTCGATGACCTAGGTAACTCGATCTTAATCCTGAGCTAACCATGAACTCCTGTTCATTCGGAATTATCCTTAGATTTGCATGGGTGAGAGTGGCTCGAGTTCGCTGGCTCAATAGTCCTCCCATTTCAGAGGTAAGACTGGGTGAATAGCTGGGGACGTGGGGTGCAAGATGGAATTCACTCCTACCCACTTTTAGGGATAGAAGAGAGGTAGTTCCCTTAAGTACTGACTCTAGGTCTTGAACAAGGGGCCCCACCCACTCATTGGCCTGAGAGGGATTTGGTTTACTGGTTGGACCACAAACCAATTGTTCATAAGAGGGTCAGTGGGACATAAGAAACAAGAAGTAACTTCAGGGGTAAAATGACTAATTGACACAGCTTTAGTTACGAACAACCTATGAAGGATCGACTTACTAATCATGGTTATATCAAATGGACAGAAATATATCTATAGTGAGGGGAGTGCAACTACTAGGCTATAGTAGAGTGTCCTAGTAGTTAACGAATGTTGGTTAACAAGGTTAATGAGTTTAACCAGTTAATCTTGGATCGTTGGAGCCCATGATCTATAGGTCCATTAGGTCCCTCTACTAGCTCATATCGGACTAAACCATAGAACAGTGTGACAAGTGAGTTCGAAGTGTTCGAATTCAAATTAAGGAATATGCGCTACATATATACGATATATTTAACTGCATTTTTGTTTTATTTACGAATTAAACAAAAAGAGAGAATTTGAGATATTTAAATAAAATCTTAGTCAATTATGTGTCGGAATTGATTGGGATTGACATTTGAATTAATATTAAATATTAATTAAATAGTTTAATTAATCATTTAATGTTACTTTAATTTGAAATTAATTATTCAAATTAATTGTTGAATTAAAATGAAGAAAGTCAAAATGTTGACTTCATTTAATGGAAAAATCCATGTTAGTGGAATTTTGAGGTGTAAAATTTGGTTTAACCAAACTTGCATGCTTGCCAAATAAACCCCACAAGTTTGAGTGGAATTTTGAGTGTCAAAATTTGGTTAACTCAAACATGCATGCTTGCCACATAATCCCAAACATTTGAGTGGAATTTTGAGTGTCAAAATTTGGCGATCTCAAATTTGCATGAACATGCAAATATGACTCTTTAAATAAAGTGATCATGGTACATAGAAGGTCTTCTTCCTTGAAAAAGACCTTGAGAAAATTCTCACAAGCTCTCTCTTCATATAACTAAATCCCTCCCAAGTTTAGTCACTCACAAGATTCCACAATCCCGTTCTAAGGCCGGAGGATAGTGGAGAAGACATTAGTGGTGGTTCGAAACCGATTCATGAGAAAAAAGGAATTTGAACTACAAAAGGTTAGTATTCAAATTTATTAAGTTTTAATACTTATGAACATGCTAGTTATTTACTATAATTGATGTTCTAAAAGTGCCTAAGATCCAAGTTGCTACCGCATGTGTTATATTAACACCATCAATTGATATCTGAGCAAGTTTTAGGCACTTTATTTACATTAATTTGATCACGGTGGGTACCATTTCATGAATGAAATTTTGTGGTTGCTAAAGTGAATGGTTTTGGTTTTGGCATTTTTTTTTTTTATGCTTCCATTTGATACAATTATTGTAATAAGCTTAATGTGTATGGGCTTTAATGAATGAAGAAAGGTCTATAATTTTTATGGAGTCATTAGAGTCCATTTTAGGTTGTAATTGATCGAAAATGGAAGAGATAGCAAGCTGAACCGAAAAAGAAGATAAAAGAGGCAGTTCGGGTGTTTTTTCTGCCTTTGGAGTTCGGTTCAACGGTTTTAAGGATTGGTTCGCCCAGTTCGTGATCCTCGGGAGCGGTTCAAGTTATTTTTAATTATTAATATAATAATTTAGTTAATTGCTTGCTTTAAAATGCCAAAACTATCCTACTTTAGTGTGTTTAATTAATTATGCATTATGAATGTATGTTTTAATTAAATAGAAAATGTATATGCATAAAGTATGTCATATAGATTTAAAATCCCACCATAGGTTAAGCATGTTTCATGCATTCCAAGTATGTTATAAGTGTTATAATGTATAGTATGCATGTTTAGGGTTCCATGAGTGATAAATATAAATTGTTATATTATTGCATGGAATAGATGATTATATAATTGTTATATAAAGCATGTTAGATGCATGTTATAGGTCATTTTCAAGGTCATAAAACGAGATAGACGTTAAAATATATAATGAAGATAAGTGCATGCTCACTTAAGGTTAAGAACCAAGCATGATCAATTTTAATAGTTAAAATAGGTCGATGTCTTGTAAAATTGTGCTTACAAGAAAGCTCACTTGGCACGATTTTGTCTAAGGCTGGAGGTACTTAAGTTGACGGTTTACGAAACACCTACTACCTGGAGATCGGACCAGTACTTGAGCTTAGTTAGGCTATTTTTATGAGCATGCTTGAGTGATGTAAGTTTTGGAAAAATCACCTAGACTTAGGTTATATTTAATTAGTCGAAATATACCTAAGTAATGAGTATACCCAACCGTCTAAAATACTTAGTGGGAGGAAAAAGGTATATGAGATACATCGTTTTCCTTTTCACGCTTTCTGAAAAATTCACACCGTGAGATTCATGCTCGGCCTCGTGTCGCCCTAGGAGC